GCGTGCATTTGGGGTAGCTCCCCACAGAATGCCTTTAGTTTGTTTATTTTTTTATGTGGTGCTGAGGATAGAACCCAGTGCCTTACACATTCTAGGCAAGCGCTCTGCCACTGAGCTACAGCCCCCAGCTCAGAAAAATAGCATATTATGAACTGATGCACTAAGAAAAGAAATTCTGGGCTGGGGGTGTAGCTCAGTGGTAGAGCACTTGCTTAGCATGTGCAAGGCCCCAAGTTCCATTTCCAGAACTGCAGAAATAATAATAACAATAATAAATAGAATAAATTTAGGGTAGTTCAAAGGAAATTAGAATAAATAAGAAAACAAATAATTGTAGAAATAAAAATGTACATACTGAAATATTCTAGACAGACATGCAGAGAGGTTTGAAATTTCTGGAGCAAGAGGACTTGGGTTTTCAGAAGCTAGTTCTGGGTTTCAGAAGGCTACTAGACTTGGGGACACTGGTGGTGACAGAAGAAGCAGGCCAGGCAGAAGACATCAGGAATACAGTGACTGATGCCAATTTTTCCTGAGATAAGATTTTGGATGTAGCCAGGTGTGGTGGTGCACGCCTGTAATCCTAGAGGCTCAGGAGGCTGAGGCAGGAAGATTTCAAGTTCAAAGCCAGCCTCAGCAACTTAGTGAGGCACTAAGCAATTCAGTGCGACCCTGTCTCTAGTAAGATATTTTAAAAAGGGTTGGGGATGTGGTATCCACATAGATACCAAAAAAAGAAAAAGAAAAAAAGAATTTGGAGCTTTCTACAAAATGATTTTGGGGGATGAGGACTTTTAGTCTCTGATTTATTTGTCTTTTTAATTTATTTTAATTTTTCATTATTATTATTATTATTATTATTATTATTATTATTATTATTATTATTATTTGCCGCAGTCTGGCTGGGCACAAATGCCGCAGTCTGGCTGGGCACACAATCACGAGCCACCACACAGCTTGTAGATTCAAACAGCAACTCTTTATTCCCGAACTCACACCAGCCGGCTACAATCACGTTCTGGGGAAATCCACGTTCTCTGCCCAAATCCACCTCCACTGGGCTTCTATCTCCCAAAAATATACTGTCTGAATCCCGTGAGAACTCAAGGGGAACTCAGGCAGCAGGATACGCCCTATTCCTAGCAGGAATAATCTTAAACCTGGAACGCCCTAAACCCAATTATCCTAAACAGGGAACACCCTAATCCGCCCTGGTCCTTGAGCAAGGTCACCTACATTCAATGTCACTGCAACATGGGGTACGCTGGCAAGGAAATTGTCATACCTACTTGGCTAATGGCTCCCAGCATCTCCCCCCTTCTGATTAATTAAACAACAAGCAATGTGGCTTAAGGACCGTGCCTGGTAGGTTGTCCAATTCAACATATGGTTCTTACCCGTCATCGGAAAACTGACCTTTAGGCGTCAGCCTCCTGTCTTAGGTTGATACCACTGCAATTGGATCATACCCGTCACTGACTACCGGTCCAGCATATAGCCATTGGCCCCCAAATTTTAGACCATCACTAGCAGAAGGGAGGAGGATACAGAAATGCCACGACACCAAGCCAATTGACGGCTCCTTGGGAAAAATTGCATCACTGGTGACACCATCAGCAAAGATATGCCAGCACTACCACAATTAACATGGGGTGCGCTGGCAAGGAAATAAAAATTGCATCACTGGTGACACCATCAGCAAAGATATGCCAGCATTACCACAATTCGCTGCACCAAACGATAGTTACATAGTCCAGGCAAGTTCTGCAAGCAGTTCAAAGCAGAGGAATCTATCAATATGTCCATTTCCTCCCAAAATCCGTTTCCTCCCAAAGTAAGTTGACTCCTTGATTGAGCATTACTTGTTGAGTTATATTCATTGATGCATCAGTTTATACAGTTTACTGTGATAGCTATCATAGAAGCTGTAGTTTGGTTTTATCTTTGTCTTCACCGGCACTGGGATGAAGATAGGAATTCTGGCAATGATGCTAAAGAGACATTATCCTGAAAAGAATTATTAAATATAATGAAAAGGAAAGGTGAAAGTAAACAAACAGATCTGTTAACCTACTTTAAAAACAATCCTTAACAGCTGTTTACCTAATTTAAATTAGTAAACAAACAGATCTGTTAACCACCTTTAAAAACAATCCTTAACAGCTGTTTACCTAATTTAAATTAAACCATTTAAATCACGTGAATAAAAAAAATAATAATAATAATTCGGATCCATTTTTTCATGAGCGCTCCTCATATAAGAAATATGGACATACGCACATACAGACATACAACACAAAACACAAGAGTGTACACAAACGTACAACACATAAGAAAATAGTAAAGGCCTTGTAGCTTTACCTGGGTGAAATCTCCATTGCAATGTTTAAAAACTTCACAATCAAAAAATAAAACTGATCAGAAAAACATTAACCTAGGTTTGTATGAGCTCAAAAAATAGAAATAGAACCTTATGATGTGGAAAAATGCAATAATAAATAGCTATTGAAAAAAGCATCCTGGTTAATCACTGTCGCAGATGTAAGAATGGCCAAGCTGGAGTTCTGGATATCAGCTGTTATGGATTTGAGTCAAATCATCTTCTTTTCGATCTGTAGAAATTGTTTTAGTTAATCTCTCTGGAATCCAAATCGGCTGCTGTTCTCCCTGTGGAAACACACAAACAAAACCCCGACTCCAGACAATCACTGGGTCAGGACCTTTCCATTGTCCTGTTAGAATATCTTTCCAAAGTACCTTAGGTTTATGTACATTTTTTGGATACATGTCTTTCCGCAGCACTAAGTCCTGATGAATCCAAATTTAAAAAGTTTAGGGTAAAAAGGGTTATTTTAAGTTTATCTTTGGGGGATATATACCCCTTTCCAATTCCCTCTTTTTGTTTTAATAAGTATATGTCTGTATCTAATAGTTGTCTTAGCTTTTTGTATTTTTATCTGAAATACCTTTATTTGACATTTTTAACCATTTTTATCTTGTTTCTATCTTCTAGTTTTCCTTTAAGGTTAGTACATTTACCCTTAGTTGATTTTTTTCCTCCTATTTTTTTTTTTTTTTTTTAGATTCCGCCCTGGTCCTTGAGCAAGGTCACCTACATTCAATGTCACTGCAACATGGGGTACGCTGGCAAGGAAATTGTCATACCTACTTGGCTAATGGCTCCCAGCAATTATTATTATTATTATTAATCCTGGGGATTGAATTCAGGGGCATTTTACTACTGAACCACTTCTTCATCCCTTTTTACTTTTTATTTTGAGATAGAATCTCACTGAATTGCCCAGGCTGACCTTGAACTTGCAATCTTCCTGCCTCTATCTCCTGAGTTGCTGACATTACAGGCGAGCACCACCATGCCTGGCATCAGTTAGCCTCTCTGGTGCTCAGTTTCTTATTGATAATTTTACACCTAGAAGGGAGAGTGTCAAGACTGAAAATAGGCTGGGGACGGTGGCACATGCCTGTCATCCCAGCAGCTCAGGCTGAGGCAGGGCAGGAGGAATGAGAGTTCAAGGCCAGCTTCAGCAATTCAGCAAGGACCTCAGCAACTTAGTGAGACCCTGTCTCAAAATAAAAAGGGCTGGGGATGTGGCTCAGTGGTAAAGTGCCCTGGGTTCAATCCCCACTATCACCCCCCAAAAAAAGATTGAGTAGGGGCTCAGAATTGGATTGCATGGACTCAGCACTTTATACCTCGGCAAGCCTTGGGCTTGTTATCTAACTTCTCTGCCTCAGTCTCCTCATCTATGAAAGGGCCATAATGAATATACTTATCTCTTAAGTTTGTGAAGATAAAATGTGTTAATATAATCTTATTGATCCTGGGGATTGAACTCAGGGGACTGAAAGGACTTCTGAAAGGACTTCTCCCCACTGGCAAGCGAGCAATTAATTCTGCAGCAGATACCCATTGGGTGTCCCCTAATCCAGCTCTGTTCTGCACTACCTGGAGAGAGCATCAGATCCCTCAGGTTAGGGCACAGCCCCCCAAGACTGCTCCCCTCCTCCTTCTGATGCCGATGGCAGCCCCCAGATTGCTTTATCTGTGCTTCTCATCCACTGGCTACAAACCAGGGTTCCCACAACCCTCTCCTTGGATTCCATCAGCTTGCCAGAGTGGCTCACAGAACACAGGGAAACGAATTTACTAGTTTGTTACGGAAGACAGATGAAGAGAGGCATAGGGCAAGGCCCATGGGACAGGGCACGAGGCTTAATTATTGATTACACCACTGGCCACTGGTGATCAACTGACCTTTAGCCCCTCTCTCCTCCCTGGAGGTTGAGGGGTGGGCTGAAAGTCCTAACCGTCTAATCCTGCTTTGTTCTTTCTTATGACCCCCATCCTGAAGCTCCCTGGGAGTTGACAGCCACCCATCAAGTCAACTCGCTAGCTTACAAAAAAGATAAATTTCTGGAGATTCCGAGGATTTCAGGAGTTATTTGTATAACAGGAAATGGGGATGAAGACCACATATTTATTTCATGGAGCTGAGTGGGTAGATTGGTGGTAGAGCACATGCTTAGCATCCATCAGGCCACAGGTTCAATCCTCAGCACCAAAAAAAGGCATAGTGGTGAGTGCCTGTAGTCCAGCTACTCAGGAGGCTAAGACAGGACAATCACTTGAGCTCAGGAGTTGACCAGCCTGGGCACATATAGTAGATGCTCAATAAATAAAGACTGTATGATGATGGAACGTGCGTCTAAGTAGTCTGCCAGTCCCTGCAGGGTTTCTTCCTTGTGCATACAACTGCCGAGTGAACAATAGTTGAATAACTGGGTTGTGGGAATGTAGCTGAAGGTGAAGAACAGGTAGGTGAGGGCAATGAATGGAGCCACCCCACAGAAGGTACATGCCAAGCCACGCAGTGCATGGAATGCAGCCCTCCGGCCTCTGGGGACTCAAGAGGGGACAGGAGTGTGTCCATCCTTACCTTTCCTTCCCTCCCACAAAAAAGCACTACACTTCAGAGGACTGGAAGAGATCATTGAGTTTATTTGGGGAAAGCAAAAGGGGTTGGAAGATTCAGTTGTACATACACAAAAACACACACACATGCGTACATGCATGTACACACAAGTGCGTACACACACACACAAACACACACACACAAACATCCCAAGCAACTTCACTCCAGGGTTTGACACCGTCTGCTGGGAGTCCCCAGATTTCCAAGTCAGGAGTAGGCAGGTGTTGGGGCCTAAGGACACGCAAGCTGTATAGAAGAAATGGGGGTGAAAATGGGTCCAGGGGCCCTCCCCTGCCCGCCAGGCTTTGGGAACCGCTTTCCCTCTCCTTCTCAGAGTCAATGTCCTCTGCCATCTCTGAGTATCTCCCTCCTCCTCCTCCTCATTTCCTATCGGCCGTTCCCAGCTCACCTGGTCACCTGGGGGTCACCTGGTACTCCAGGCTCCCATGCGCCCTCCTCCTCCCCATGCTGGTTCTGGATCGTCGGGATTATCCATGTTCTCATAAGAGTCTGCGTCTGCGAAGGACCAGAAGAAAGCAAAACGCAGGTGGGGGTGGAAGTAGGCTAGGAAGGGAATCCGCCAGAGGACACCCAGGGACAGTGCAGAAGCCCGTACCTTCCTCATGATTGGGACCAGTCTGAAGGGGGCGGAGCTGGGGGGCTGCATACAGGATCCCTCTCATATCTTCATAGGACTGGGACCCTGATTGGGCAGGGGATGGAGAATTGGAGGCCAGATCCATGCGGGGGGCTTGGAAGGAAGTTGGCCTACCACTGGGAAGGTGGAGGCTCCACCCATGTTGGAATGACTGATTAGGTCACCACCAGGTTTGGGGTCCTGCTTAGTTGTAGGGTCAGGGTTAGGTATGGGTTAGATTATGGTCATGATCAGAAAAACTGGAGCCAGGCACAGAAGCACATGCTAACCCAGTCTCTCAGAAGGCTAAGGAGGAGAATCCCAAGTTTGAAACCAGCCTCAGCAACTTAGTGAGACTTTGTCTCCAAATAAAATAGAGCAGGGGACATAACTCTGGTAGAGCTCTTGCCTCGCAGGCACAAGACTCCAGGTTCAATCCTGGGGTTTGGGGGTGGGGCAGTGAGCAGATTTGGGAAAAGTGAGAATGAAGAGGAAATTGAGCTAGGGTCAAGGTTGGCAGTGCATTGGGCTCGATGTTGATGTTTAAGGTTAGTGACGATGTAAATACTGAGGGTCCAAATTGGGGATGGGGTCATTGTTGAGGTTAGAGTTAGGAGTCAAATCTAAGGTCAGGGTTAAGCTTGAATTTGGGGTTAGAATCAGATCAAGGTTGGGTCTGGTGCCAGGGCTGAGGGCAGGTCACCCAGGGGGATAGGCAGGGCAAAGTGGGATAGTCCCAAGCATCTCTCACCAAGGGAGGTTGCTTCCCGGCTGGGGTCCCTGGCAGACCCATGGGGGCTCAGGAAGTCTGAAAAATGAAAAGGGACATCACTATTCCTCCCAGCTTGCAGACCTTTCCCCTTCCCAGGAATGCGACCTTCTTCATACTCACCCATTGTCTTGGTGACTGGTGGGGCCAGCTCTCCATCCTCGTTCTCGTAAGACTCAGCTGAGGCACAAGGAAAGCTCCAGAGACCACTCCTACCCTTAGGGGCTCCACACTGTGCTGGCCCCTCCCCCATACCTGAAGCCCCACAAAGACCCTAAATTACCGTTGGAGAAGGAGTCTGCATCCTCAGGACCCAGGGACCCATCCTCAGGGTTCTCATAGCCACTGCCATCTGGTGGAGAAGGAGGGACATCCAGCAGGGGTCCACAGCCCACAGAAGTGGGGAGACGGAGAGTGGGCAGCCTTACCCTGGGAAAGCTGGTCCCGCCCAAGGTTGGAGTCGTTCTCGTAGAACTCGGACCCCTCCTCGCTGTCCGGCTCCTCATAGCCCTCCCCTTCTTCTTCTAGTCCTGCGGGTTTGGGGACAGGGGTGGGGAACTGAATCACTGTTGTCGTCCTCCAGCCCAGGCCAGAATGTGCCACAGACAGTTTCAACACCTCTGCGTGAGGAACGACCCCCTCATTCACCTGCTTCTGGGGTGCCAGCCTCCTGGGCGTCGCGGCGCGGGTTTCCGTAGGACAGGGAGGCGCTTCCCATGCCTGCCGCCCAGCGCTTGGTACGTCCTGGAGAGAATGGCGCCGGGAGACGACAAGGTGAGGGGCAGGGGGAGAGGGTGCTCTAGGTTCCAGGGATGGCCTCTGGGTTTAGGTACCTGGCCTTGAACCATGGAGGCCAGATCTATATCTGGGGTGGTGGCCTCAAGTTCTAGGGCACGGTTCGGTGTTGAAACTGGACATCAGGAGGCGTCGTGGGGGTGGGGTTTTGTGTCCTGGAGGCGGGGCTTGACTCTGGGGGCGGAGCCACACCTGGGGTGGGACTCCGCAGCCTCCGCCCACCTGCCTCTCTGGAAGGCCTGGCGCTCAGAGGATTGGAGGGATGAGGCAATGGGTGGAGCTCTCACACTGGGGCGGAGCTACAGGCTGGAAGGACTGGGCCTGGGCCCGAAGGGCTGCTGGTGCCTCTTACCCGGGCCAGAGGTGGGCGTGGGAAGGGATAGCACGTTTCCATACTGGTTCTGGGTCCCGTTTCCCTGAGGAGGCGTCACTTTGAAGAACCTGGTGGAAGCAGGGGACGTGCACTGAGGCTAGACCTGGCAAGGACCCCGGGACACACTTCAGATTCAGTTTGGGGCCTCAGAGGTTGAACGTGGTCACTCGTGATTAGCTAGCTCCTCTGTGGGACAATCTACAGAGGAGTTGGGATCACTCCGGGAGGACTTGACACAGCTTTGGAGCTGCACTTGGAGCCTGGGCAGTAATACTCCCGGTGGAGATGGGGCAAAGACCCCCGGGCCAAGGAAACAGTAAATGCATCACATAAGATAAAAGGGGGCTGGGCGTGCCCTTGCCAGATTACCTCCTGGTGGGGTCAATCATCCGCTTCCTTAACCTCCTCTGGATCAGGGCTGGTGGGAGTTAAGAAGAGGGATCAGAGGAGGAGTGCTTGGCAGAGTGAGGATTTAGGGGTACTGAGGAGGTCCCCTGGGTCAACAGAGGAGATGAGTTCGAATTCCAAGAAGAATGGGACGTTTGAAAGGAGTTAGAGAAGTGGGGGTCAGGGTTGTAGGATGGGGGAGGGGTGGGAAGAGAGAAAAACAGGTGTCATACTAGCCAGTGTGTGTTATCCTGAGGTAGAGGGGGTAGGGTTCGAGCAAACTGGCTGGGGGACATAACTCACCTCTTCGAAGATGAAGAAAGGCCACCAGGGAACCCAGGCAGAAGATCAGATAAACCAAAGTTACAAGGGGGACTTTCCAGCCACCAGTCTCCAGCAGCCAGTGCCAAACTGCTAAGGAAAGGGTGCTGTGAGTCAAGGACCCCAGGCTGGTGTCTTACTTCCCAGCCTCAAGAACACAAAGGAGCTGGCTGGGGCAGCACAAGCCTGTAATCCCAGTGACTTGGGAGGCTGAGACAGGAGGATTGCAAATTCAAGGCCAGCCTCAGCAACTTAGTGAGGCCATGTCTCAAAATTTAAAAATTACAAAGGGCAGGGGCTGGGGCTGTAGCTCAGTGGTAGAGCATTTGCCTAGCATGCGTGAGGCACTGGGTTCAATCCTCAGCACCACATAAAGTAAAATAAAGACATGGTGTTCACCTATAACTAAAAAATAAATATTAAAAAAATTACAAAGGGCTGAGGATGTGGCTCAGAGGTTAAGCATCCCTGGGCTCAAAGTCTGGTACCAACAAAATAAAAACCCAGAAAACAAAAATCCAAAAGGACCATACACCTGGGGATTGAAGCAAGACATAGTCTCTTAAGTCCCAAGCTATGAGGAGGACTATCCTCCCTCCCTCTAAGGAGCCATATCCTAGGAAGACAGGGACCATGCCACCCAACCTGGTACCCAGCGTGAGGCAGTATTTATTGAGCAAACCAAGTAAAAAGGCATGGGTGTGATCCAAGGGGATGTGGGGATTAAGTGGAGCTTAGCAATCAGCTTCTTGCTGCCGTTGAAACAATCAAGGTCAAAGTGAAGGGAAGAGGTAGGTTCACAAGGTTGGGAGTTGGGATCTAGCGTGTCGCTGTGGTCAAGTTTGGAGTGGAAGCTGAGGTGGTGTTTGAGTGTTTGGTTGGAGAGCGTGGTGGGCGGGAATCAAGGAGACAGAACCAGCAGAATAACATGACCGAGCTGGTGGGGTGAAGGGGAAAGGATGCCCGCTCTCCCAGCTGGGGCAGGCGACAGGTGTTGGCATTTCTCATTTACGCAGGGCCACCCAGAAGTCCCCATGTGGGAAAGATGTTGATTTTGATTTTATATATGTTGTGCCTAAGGTTTCATGGGCCATCAAATGGCAATTGCAGGGGTAGCTGGGTATGAAACCCAGAAGAGAGTTACTAAGGCTTGGTGACACCAGGAGCCATGGGAATAAAGGTGTTGTCAGGGATGTGAGTGGGAAGTCATGGAGGAGGAGGAGGCCCAGGGCTCCAGCAGTGAGGGGCGGGGGAATAAGGCTCTTCCCAAAGCAGATGGCGAGGAACAGACAGAGTCAGTGGAAGACCCAGAAAATCAGCCTTAGAGACAGGGAGGGAAGAGCTGTGTGGAGAAACTGGGTTTCCGGTGCGGGCTGTCGGTCGCTAGGCACCATGGGGCACGCCTGTAATCCCAGAGGCAGGGGAGGCTGAGGCAGGAGGATTATGAGTTCAAAGCCATCCTCAGCAATGGCGAGGTGCTAAGCAACTCAGTGAGACCCTGTGTCTAAATAAATTACAAAATAGGGCTGGGGGTGGTTGAGTGCCCCTGAGTTCAATCCCTGGTACTCCCATCCCCAAAAAGAAATTGGGTTTTGGGACCAGGCTTTTTGCAACTCTCAGGTCAGGGGTCTAAGATTGTCTGGCTTCCAACTCTTCCAGCAGCCCCCACGCAATGACCTACAATGGGTGGTAACTCTACCTGGCCGGGCAGTGACCTTCACGTGTATCTCGATGGTCAGGTTGCCACGGAGACAATAATAGGTACCAGCATCTTGAGTTGTGGCCTGGGGCAGCGACAGAAGAGACCCCAGGACCCACATGTCTCTGGATGGGGCCTTCTTGCTCAGGCTTAAGTTCAGCAATGAGATGTGAGACTTAACAGGGTGCCTGAAGATCCAGGAGAGGGGGCCACTGACCACAGGGGTAGGGGCCACCCCACAGGACAGCCAGATTGTGGAATTAGGGGCCACAGTGAGATCTGGAGCAGAGAGAGACAAGGAAAGCCTCATGCTTGGGGTCTGATCCCCCCAAACCTTCCAGTTCCCAGTCACCATCCCCCATCAGGGAACCCCACCTCCTGGCATCTCCCCAGCAAAGACCCCTTACCTTGGCTGAAGCTCTGTTTCAGACTCCCCCTTGGTGGGGCACACACCGGCTCTGTATTCCAGATCTTAGGGTGGTCCTTAGCCCACACATAGAGTTGGGAGGTGATGGGGCGATCAGAAGAGAGCCCAGTGCCCCCGGAGGACATGTTCCCCCGGCTACAGTTTAGGGCCTCTAAGTCTGAAGCATTCCAACGGAACAACTCCCCTGGGAAGAGACCCAGAAGCAGACACAGAGACATTAGGAGAAGAAGAGAGATACAGACCCAGAAATAAAGACTCAGAGAGATAGAGACAGATGAAGAATGGCGGGCGGGGTGGGGCAGGTGTCAGAGAAACAGCGACCAAAGAGAAGCGTGAGAGACCAGGGGCAGCTGTGTCAGTCGTGAAGTTGCAGGTAGACCTCCTCCAACTCCACTTTGGCCGTGGGCCCACTGTCCCTGGAGGCCTCCCTCTCCTTGGCCAGCCCCACTGCCCAGCCCCACTGCCCAGCCTGGCCTGGCCCTCACCACTGCCCTCCACGCTCACTGTCCAGCCAGGCCGCCAGGTGTCCTTGGAAGGGGGCCCCGACTGGCACAAGTAGAAGCCCCCCATCTGGTGAGAGACGTTGAAGACGAGCAGCAGGGTGCCCAGGTGCCCCACACGGATGCCCAGGTTTGGTAAGCCCAGGCTCAGCTCTAAGAAGGGTGCCGACCGGTTCCCCCGAGACCAGGCCAGCTGCTCGGAGGGAGCATAATCCTGGAGGCACGGCAGCAGGATGTCTTTTCCCTCTGTGGAGAGAGAGAGAGAGAGAGAGAGAGAGAGAGAGAGAGAGAGAGAGAGAGAGGAGCCCCTCGTCCCCTTCCCTCCGAAAAACCAGGGGATCTCACAGGCTGGGAGTGGACGAGCCCTCAGAGTCCTTCTCACCCTCCCACAAGTTGACACATTCAAGAAAATGGAGGCCCAGAGAGGGTAAGTTACTCAGTCAGGGAACCCCAGCCGTCCAGACCCCACTCCTTCCCTCTCTGCCCTTCGGACATACCTTCCACCTCCACCAGCAGTGGCTTCTGGGGCCTGACTCCCACAGGGGTAAGAAAGAGGAGGAAGGACAGGAGCAGAGGAGGTGGCATGGTGGCCTGGCTCCTCCGAGCACCCAGCTTCCCCGCGCAGGGGATGCTGGGGCAGGCCCGGGCCTGGTGGGCAATGAAGCATGGGTGTCTGTGGGGGTGGCAGGCGATCCCCCCAGAGAGGAAGGGGGCGGTCCCCCTCGGCCCTTCCCCACTCACCCTCCAACCTGTGAAGCTCGCCCTCTTCCTGCTGCAGCTCTGTGTTCATTGTGGCACTCACCACCTTGAGAAATGCCCTTGTTTGTTCCTCTCCTGGTTCTAATTCTCCCACAAGCTCCTAAGCCCTTGGGAGCAGAGACTGTCCCCTTTGCTTTATGCCCTAAAGCAAGTCACCTGACACGACTTTGTTGAGTGAGTGGATTCAGACTGAGGAGCTCCCTGAGACTTCCCCCCTCCCTCTTTCCTCCTCCCAGTCCCGGCCCCGAATCCATTTCCCTTCACGTGTACATCCTCCATTCATCCCACCAACATTTCTTGGGGTTTCTTCCACCTCCAGCACACTTTGGCGTCTGACAGATCAAAATCTGTATATTTTTCTTTTTTTGGAACCAGGGATTGAACCCAGGGACACTTAACCAATGAGCCACCTCCCCAGCACCACATCCCCAGCCCTTTTTATATTTTCTTTTGAGACAGGGTCTTACCAAGTTGCTCAGGACCTTGCTAAATTGCTGAGGCTGGCCTTGAACTTGTGATCCTCCTGCCTCAGCCTCCTAAGCTGCTGCGCCACTGCTCCTGGCATCAGAATTTGAAGTTTCTACCTTCATCACTCAGCTAAATTCCTTCATCATTCAAAGCCTCAGTTTCCTTATTAGCTAGGGAGAATATTCAAACTATGAAAAAAATGGTTTGTGGGCTGGGGATGTGGTTGAGTGGTATAGTGCTTGCCTAGCATGTGCAAGGCACCACAAGAAAAAAAATTATATATATAGTTTGTGAAGACTAAATAGGACAATATATGTACAGCATTTTTAGCCCTGCACCCAGTAGGCCCTCAGTTAAAGACAGTGTCAATTAATGGCTAAAAGCTGCCTGGGTTCAAAACCATGGACAATTTCCTTATCCGTAAACTGGGCATGACAAGAGAACCTATCCCGCAGATCATTCTGGGGATAAATCAGTCACCGTACATAAAGCTGGGTGGCGCTGGGCAGTTATGTGAGAAGGCAGGAGCCGCTGCAGCTCCTTTGCAGTGGTCCTTAGAAGTGACTAATGATTCACGTCGCTTTTTCATCCAGTTCTTCCTCCAGGAAACCCCTGCTTCCGTTATAGAAAAGACCCATTTAGAAATGGGGAAATGAAGACCCTGAGAAGGGCAGGGCTTTGTATGAAGTCACGCATCAAGCATCGGGCAGGCTGGTGATACAAGGAGCACTAGAACCCTGGAGTCCCAACTCCTAAATCTCTCTTTCCTTCTCCCTCTGTCCCTCTCTCCGTGTGTGTGTGTGTGTGTGTGTGTGTGTGTGTGTGTGACTGCTGAAGGCACTCAGAAAAAGGGCTCAGGGACCCAAGAGACCTGCTTTCTCAGTTGTCAATTCCCAGGCCAGTCTCACTGGGCTGTAGCTTCCTGTTTGCCCTGGGCAAACCCCAGGGGACTCTACAGGTGGCAGGGCCCCCACTTCCCTTTGGCCAAGTTGAGGGGGCTGGGAGGGGACAGTGGGGCATTGGGGAATGGAGAGGGTGAGTAGCTGGATCCCCATTTGCTTCTCACTCAACAAAACAGCTCAATCCCCCGCATTAGCTCCACAGCTGCTCCGTCTAGCTCTTGCCAGAGCATGGCCGTCCCCTTCTTAAAACACTGCAGTGGCTTTTCGTCTCCCTAAAATAAAACTCCAGAGCATGGCTTCCCAAGGTCCAAGTGATGCTGTATTTTCCATCTACTTCTCCGTCACACTCCTCCTCCTCTCTCACTGTGAAGCACCCCCCGCCCCTTGCACTTGCTCTTTTCCCGCTTGATTGGCTCCTTTCATCTCAGATTCTGCTCACATATGGCTCCCTCAGAAGGGCCTTCCTTGAGCCCGTGGGAAAGTTTTTGATCTCACATTCTTGGGTTTTTTTTTCCTTTCCAGCACTTGCCTTGTCTCAAATGACGTGTGTGTGTTAGTGTTCTCACCTGCCTTCTGTGCCAAATGTTCACTCTTTGGCAACAGGGATCTTTACTATCCCTAGATGTACACTGGCACCTAGTAGGTGCTCAATAAGTGTGTGTTGAGTAAAGGAAGGAAAGAAGTTACCAGAATGCAAGAAAAGTTTCTTCTCTCTTCCTGTGCATGTTCTCCGTCACCAAGGCTGGTTCATTCTATAGGTAACTATTTCTAGAATCAATCTCCTCCTCTCTTTGGACCCTTCCAGAACCAATTCACCAGCCTCTCTCCTGGAGTCCTATGCCCTGAGTATTCTGTTCCCCAGTTACGCACCATTTATCAAGAAAGCTTCTTTTGGACCAGGCATGGTGGCACACGCCTGTAATTCCAGCAGCTCTGGAGGCTGAGGCAGGAGGGTCACAGGTTTGAAGCCAGCCTCAGTAACTTAGCAAGGCTCTAAGCAACTTAGTGAGACCCTGTCTCAGAATAAAAAGGGGCTGGGGATGTGGCTCAGTGGTAAAGTGCACTTGGATTCAGTCCCTGGTAGAAAAAATAAAAGAGGGCTGGGATTGTGGCTCAGCAGTAAAGCGCTCGCCTAGCACGAGTGGGACCCGGGTTCAATCCTCAGCACCACATAAAAATAAAGGCATTGTGTTGTGTCCATCTACACCTAAAAAGTAAATATTTTAAGAAAAAAAGAAGGAAAAAGAAAAAAAGAGAGAGAAAAAGAAAAAAAGCTTTCTTTGGAAGAAAACAAGGGGGAGGGTGTTGAGGGTGCAGGTCGGCAGTAGAGTGCTTGAGGGTGTGAGTTCAAGCTCCAGCATTGCAAAAAGCAATTTTTAAAGTTTTTTTTTTTTTTCTTGGTACTGGAGATTGAACCATGGGGCACTGTTAGAGTCTGTAAACAAGTCAGGATGGCGCCTGGCAAAATGCCAGAGGGAGTGGTTTGTGAGGTAACGCCAGCGAGCCATTAAGTGTGGAGATTCCTTATTGGTTGACTGCTGTATCTAGTTTATGTTAATTAGATAAGCTGTGTGGAATGTATAAATACTGCTCCTGTCCTGCAATAAACGGCTCCCACTCCTGCTGTATCAATGTACACAAGTTGCTCGTCACCCCCCTGGTTACTTTGCTGCAGCAGGACTGCGGCAGGGCACTTAACCACTGAGCCACATCCCCAGCCATTTGTATTTCGAGACAGGACCTCACTGAGTTGCTTAGTGCCTCGCATCAGTTGCTTATGTCACACCCACCTACTAGCACCTCTTTTGCACAACTGAATATTTGCAGTTATGTTCTCAGCTGGGCATTCTACACACACAGTAAAATGGGACATAACAACAACAAAAATGTGAGGCGCAGTGGCGCACATCTGTAATCCCAGCTGCTAAGGAGGCTGAGGCAGCAGGATCACAAGTTCAAAGCCAACCTCAGCAACTTAGCAAGGCCTCAAGGCAATTTAGCAAGCAAGACCCAGTCTCTAAATAAAATATTAAAAAGGGCTGGGGATATGGGACAGTGGTTAAGTGCCCCTGGGTCAATCCTCAATACCAAAAAACAAACAAACAAACAAAATAATGCTAGTGCCTAAGTCCAAATGACTTAGAGACTTAGTTCTACAAGTATCTGGACGAAGCCCCGGACTGCCTTGCCAGTGGACCTGCAATGTTGGCATGATTCTGCCCCCAGTGATGGAACTGGGGTGCCAATGGTCACCTGTGATCACAGTGAACCCCTTTTCCTAGAGCCTTCCCCAGTCCTCTAAAGATATGATCTGGCTGGGACAAAGACAAATTTGTGCTTCTTAAAGATCAGTGGTCATTTGAATAGTCTAATGATTCTGATTCCCAAAGCTTCTTAATTAGTCATGTGCTTCTCTTTCTCAGCAGCCTTCAATGGCTCTCAGGGCCTACAGGATAAAAGCCAGGCCTGAGAGCTCCCCACATTGATCGGAGGCTCATTTCTAGTCATCATTTTACCTTTTAAAAACCCTGCACGTGCGGCTGGCGCAGGGGCTCAGTGTAGAGTGCTTGCTTGCATACAGGAGGCACTGGGTTCCATCCTCAGCACCACATAAGAAGAAACAAATAAAATAAATGTATTCTGCCCATCTACAACTACAAAAGAAAGAGAGAGAGAGAGGGAGAGAGAGGGAGAGAGAGAGAGAGAACCCTGCATGTATGTTAAGAATTAAGTCTAAACTTAATTCTGAGGGCAAGAAGCTATTGGGGATTTATAAGCCTGGCCAGATTTATATGTCCCACAACTTCCCCTGGCTGCAACGTGGGGGGAGGCCAGACAGACCTGTAAAGAAAGACTTATTTATTCCTTTTCCTCCCAACAGATTTTGGGAAACCGAAGACAAGAAAGACAGGGCTCCTAAACTAATAAAGCTTTGATGCAAGTTTTGGGGTCAGGGAAGTGTTGGCAACAGGTCCACCTTGGCCCCTGGAGCCCTACCTCCACTAGTTTGTTCTGCATGCCAGTGTGGCCAGCTCACAAGGCCATGGCGAACTTGCGGTTTTTCTGTTCCTGCTTGTCCGTCTGAGACATATGTATCCCACGGGAATGCCTTGACCTTTTCTGGTCTGATGGACTTATTGTTAAGGGAGGTTTCGGTACCTGACAATAATAGATGTTGAAACTAAATTTCTCCCCCCTCCCTCCTGCTTTTGGGTAGTTTTCCACTTCTGCTGCTTGGGGTATAAAAAAAGGTGTGTTAGCAATAAAGATTATTGACTCCTGGATGAAGAACCTTGGTGTCCTGTGTGTCTTTTGACCTCGCCGTCCCTCGCCGGACTCGGCTCCCTTGGCCGGACGCGGCAATTGGAGGTTCCCACCGAGATCCGGAAAGCAGGGGTAAGCGGACGGGGCTCACCTTCTAAGAAAGAAGGGGGAGGATTGATTTAAAGATATTTTAAAGAGACAAGGTACGTACCATGGGTAACTCAACAGCGAAGGTTTGTCTGGCCAACGAACTGAATGAGCTGTTAAATACACAAGGAACAGGAATAAAAACTAAGACTGCAACCGAATTCGTTGAAATTATTGCCCAGGCTTGTCCTTGGTTTCTGACAGGAGGATTTCTTAATAATAGTGACTGGGACCTGGTCAGACATGACCTTCAGAAATTATTGAGGGACCGGGGCTCGGACAGTGTCCCAGTTGCCACCTTTTCCTTATGGAGGTTGGTAAAGGAT